GATAAGTGCCAATGGATGACCATTGATCATGATAGCCAGGCTTAGCCAAGTGCATCCCCGTCTGGGAGCTGTCCCTTATTGAAAGAAAACATCTTAAATCAGCCTGCATGAATACTTTCTCTGTGGCTGCACCACAGAGATGGAGGGTGAGATGGGGCCTCCTTTAGGAAAGCATACCAACGCTTAATTCTGTCTTATTAACAAGCATTGCCGCTACACCAGTTATCTTCTTTAGAGCTGCTTCTATCACAAACCTGTCAAAACTTTACTTCCTCAAATATCTTAATTTATGCAGTGACAAAATTTAATTCCAAAACCAAGCCCTTAAATTGCAATTTTACTCTTTTTTGCATTAATATCCTTCATACAGCATTGATAGGGTTTCATATACGATAAACATCAACTCCACATGGATTTTATAGAATGGCTGAACAAGCCTACACCCACGTTCCATTTTAAAGATGTTCTTCTGTTCTACTCTAACACCCTTTCTATTACTAAAGTCATCAAACAAAAGCTCTCAATTTTACAGTATAACCATTCAACGGAAACCTTAATTCCCTGCACACCACGGACCATCTAATTTGCACCGGTCCACAACGCCATTAACTGTTCACAGCTGCCAAGCACTTTTTCTTGCAACAGAAGCCAGTGTTCTGTTCACATAACACTCAAATCACCTTCAAATAAATATCATACAGCCCACGTATATACATGGTCCTTCTATCAATTTCAAAATCAGATTATTGTTTTACTTGTAGAAAATGCCCTGTCATTTACTGTACACTAGTGAAACAGGACTAGCAGGACATCTCAAGGAGCCAAGTTAAAAAAATCTCTCCATGTTAATTGTTGATCTCTTAAGCCACCTTTTTCAACTACTGTACCTCTTCACATTCTCGCTTTCACTTTCTTTGGTCCACCTTTTCTCATTCCCCCATTCTGCTCGATAACTGAAACATTTTTCTTCTATCTTTTTTATAACATGGAATTAAGCAGTATCTGTTTCTTTTTAGGTCACACTACAACCTGAAAAGCCGCCTACTCTGAACACTTTTTACTTTTTTGACCAATTCCACAGAATTCATTTAACAGTTTGAGTGGGAGGGAAACATCCATTAAATATATTCTAGATATAGCTGAGTTTTCAGGACTAACTCCCAAAATTACAATAGCCATTGTTCTTTAATGTAATAATCATTAACACACTTCAATAACACACAAATACGTGATTCAGATTACAATGCACTACTAATCGAAAGGGCCAGGAAAATTAACTTGGAAATTCTCCTGACAACATTTTATGTCCGACAAAGAACATAACCCTGCCCTGAGGTGTTAAGCTGTAGTCCTTTTCCTGTTTTATAGGCTCAACTGTCTGTGCTTATCATGTCCTGGAGGCATTTCTTTATCTTGAAGCTGACAAGCAGCAAAGCTTTCCACAAAGGTTAAAGACAGCTCATACATCTCCCAAGCACTGGTATCAGTTTTGCATTCCCTTAATAGGAATCTTGTAATCATAGTTTTACAGTGGACATCAATAATATGTTACAATTTAAATACTCTATAGCAGAAATGTCTTAATGTTTTGGTAAAACAACAGGAAATTGCTTATAAATATGACAAAGAGAACTGTATAAAGAATACGATGTTATATCCTTGGAGAAAATGAGACTACGTTAGGAAATGGAATCATATTTTAAGAATAAAAGAAAAAAGAAACATTTGTAGAAAAAGAAGTTAAATAAAAATAATGTATTTTACTCATTGGATAAACGTGTTGTGCAGTCATCATGCACTGTGCATTTAGGGTAAAATTCCTTACAAGACTAGGCTTTGATTATACAGGTTTCTTATAAATGATTTTTCAAAGCAGTGAGTCATTTATCAATGAAACACACAATAGGTCCTGTACAGTTGAGTTTATATTTTAAAATAAGATGCTGTAGGATATGGCTTGGATAAATCTAAAATTTACTGTCAAGAATGCTTGATTGAAATGGTTGCAAAGAAAAGTGGATTTGGCATTTTAGTTTAAAATGCCTTTGCTGAACCCCTGAGATTGACATTAGCTCCTGGGTATGAACCACACTGTAAAACTGCTGAACATCATTAGAAACAAGCATAGATCTCACTAACCTCCCAGGCCAGGGCGCAGTCTGTTGTCATACCCATCAAGAAGTCTGTCGAGAATTCTTGTAAAAATTGTGATGTTATCTTTACTGTCATCTGGAAGCAAATCATCATATCTCAGTAATCTGTGGAGAAAAAATAAGAATTCCTTCATTTATCACAGTCCATTAAGTTGTTATAAATTCGGGCTCACATATAAGCATATCACTCCTCTGCGTACTTGACAGAAAAGTGGTCTAAATGAATTCTGATATATAGTTAATCTGGTGCAATACTGCTTTTAAGTGGCGAAGAAGAAGTGAAAGAAAGAGTGAAGGAGTCAATCTTCAAAAACAAAACAAGCAGATTCTATTGTTTACAGATTGTTACAAACAATATGTTAACATATATACTGTAACAGGATAATAGTTTCACTTATTTTCAATTTGGTTGTACAGTCATGGGATCTATATGAATGTAGACACAAGCACATATGAGTTGAATTTCGAATACAACATGGCAATAAAGCATGCTGTGAAACAAGGAAAATGATTTAACTGAAGTGTGACATTATTAGAAAATCCCATAACACCACTGAATTGTACAAGTAGTAAATGTCTAAAATATGATTTCAACTCTCATTTTCCAAATTTTATTAAATGCCCAGGACAATAGTGGTTGATAGTACCAGGTGGATGAATACAATGATTGAACTTCTAAATAAACTGTATATGTATGCTAAATTAAACTTCTAAATAAATCTAGACATCTCAAAGCACTTTATATCAATGCACACCAATCATAAAAATAACTAAATATACAGTAGTTTGCACTAATGCATATCATTTGAAAAAATGAAAACTATTGAAAGGATAAGGTAGTAAACAAATTTCAATTTTTTAGGTTAGGATAATTTAAAAAAAAACAGATTCCATGACATGTATTGAAGCTTGGGGCAAAGCCCTTCCCCTTCAAGAAGAATTACAGCCACTTCAATTTCATCCCATTTGTAGGACCTCTGTTCAACATCGCCGCTAAAAAATAAGGTGAAATGTTACAGTTAATGCTTGATGAAAGTGTTGCAGTAGTATGTGTTTTCATTTAACTGCTCTTGGAGCATAGCCAGCAAATTGTTCTAAAAACAACCTTTGTGCATTTTTGAAGTATTTTATGGAGGTTAGATGATGCCAAGAGTGTACTGTAAAATTAATGGCATCAAATTTATAAACACACTGAGTTAATCTTTAGAAGAGTAGTTTGTAGTGAGGAGCTGTCTTACCACTCTAGATCAAAAGCCATTATTCTAGTGGTATCTAATTTAATTCCAGGAGCTTTAAAGTGCCGCTTACATGCCCTGTATGTGCAATTGGCACCTTCTGTTTTGTGCATTTAAGAGGAGTATCATCTGCCTTGGGGGAAGACTTGGCACTGATTGACTGATATCAAGAAATATCCATTTCAATGTTCAAGTGTCTAGATGTGTTCAACGTTCCCCTGGTACCTTATTTCAGCGAACAGACTCGTTGTGTTAAAGGGTTAGGATTTTTTGAGGGAAGAGCAACTGTGATGTTAGATATTGAAAAATGATAAGCATTAGTATTTCATGTCTGCTCTGTTCATTTCTTTTACATTCTTTGAACAAATACAGACATGATACTTTTGGTAGAATACATTTCCAGTATTTAATGCTTTGGAAATTATAATCAAATTACAATTGCTTCACATTCTGAAGATTTTATCACTAACTGATGTTTCCAACTTTTACAGTATATATTTCAGTTCTGTAATGGAGAACGGAATTTGTGAACCTTTTAAGTCCAGAAAATTCCTCCAAATCTGTGATATTTTCCAATTGTTTTTATATCTTGAACATTAATGTGCCATTAAACAATTGATAGATGCAAAATATTTGCTTGTTTGCAAAATATGGACAAACTGGGAGTGGCACAATGGCACAACAGTTAGCATTGCTGCCTCACAGTGCTGGAGCCCTGGGTTCAATTCCAGGGGTGCTATAGTATATGAGTGGAGTTTGGATATTCTCCCTTTGTCTACATGGGATTCCTCTCACAGTCCAAAAACATACTAGTAGGTTAATTCACTATGAAAAAACTGGCCCTGCTGTGAATGTGTGTCTCTTGTCATGGACTGGTGTCTCATCCAGGTGTATCCTGCGTTGTGCCCCTTGATTGCTGGGGTAGACTCCAGCTCGCCCATGACCCTGGATTGGATAAAGTGGCTAGAAGATCCATGGATGGATAAACTGGAGCTCTGACAATGCTGGAAACCACCAAGAGGCTAAGTAATTTTAAACACCACTTTCATAGTTGAAGTTTTGTTAGTAATGCCCCAATGGGATGTCTTAGCAATAAAATAACTCTTTGGGATCCCAGGAATTGGGCTCATCTTTGTCTCAGGAAAGACTTTATACAATATCTAAACTTTGAATATAAAGCCACCCCCCACTGCCCTCACCAGCAAGAGAAGCATGTTTAATCCAAAGGAGAATCAGTGAGCTCTTTTGATCTCAGCATGGTGTCTGGATCCTCCTTTTGCTCAATGCAGTCACTCAGTAGACGTCACATCGCTACTCTTTTATTCTGAATCTCTCCTAGGCAAGTCATTTGCATGTCCTCGATTGCAGGAGGCATCACCAAACCAGGTACATTTTCAAGAACCTTTTCATCAATATTTACAGTGAGCATCCTTTTCTGGATCAGTGCAAATTATTTATAAACTTGAAAAATACCGTATATGTACCAGGTTTAATTACACACCATGTGCTTTTATGAGTTGAAGCTGAGCTAATGTGTAATAAATTAGTGTAATTATGCATACTGTACCTAAATCCATTTTGAAAATCAGTGATAAACGAATAGTGATCAACAGTGCCTCATCTAAGCTGGATATTTTCTCAGAAACAAAAGGTGCATTTTCAATGTGTGTGTGGCATACTTCAGAACCCATGTGAGTTGCACATGTCTAAACTGATGGAATGAACATTTGACCATGTGCTAGAACCAAACGTGCACTCCAGCACTAGCAGAGCTTCTACAGTAATTGTCACATGTGACATTTGCCAAAATCATTTCCAAATGCCTTCATGGTGGGTGGCATAATGAATGACAAGGAAGCTTTAGTTGTAATGAACCCTACAACAGTACATACCAGTAAGGAGAAAAAAAGTTCAATTCAGTACAGTTGACTGTCTTACATCCATTGTTTTCAAATACCAACCCACACCCTAAAGGATAATGTCTCAACTTCAAAACAAACAGGATTGATCTCTTTTAGCCAATTCTGTAACAGAAAATGTAATAAATTAAGAAGTAATATACTGTAGCAATTCTGAAAGTGATCGGTCAGTCCCGAAGTTGACTGGGAGCAACTTAATTATGTTTATCTGATTGATGACTGAAGTGGCAACAAAAAAAAACTCATTAGGGCTTCTTTAAGAATTTGGTTTTTAAATATAAGTCATGTAATAGTCATGTGACATCGCTACACATTTTTATGAATTTATCTTTTTTTTTTCCTTTTCTTTTATCTAACTGTACCCTGGTCATGCTATGTAAATTTAAGGTGTTAAATAAAATGCCCTGCACTAATACAGAAGAGTGTGTTTATATTGTCTATTGATTTTTTTATAGGTGTATTCACTTTGCTGTATTTTTCTGGGACAAAAATACAATTATTCTGGGAAGAAGCTGGAAATTGACAGTTTGAAAAAAAAAAAGAATAGCAAAACAGTTGTATTTCCTGACAAGATATCAGCATTCAAAAACATGATCCCCAACTGTATAGTGATTTTATGGACAAAATAACCTTTGCTTTCATGGTACAAGGATATTTTTTCAGCACACTGAAAAATGGCAAAATGCTGGATGCATTCATAAACTAAGATCAATGCATTGTGCAACAGGTAAATCCACTTTATTCACAATTTCGATTTCCAATACTCCAGCAGTTTATCATGTGTTCATGACTGAAGTTTATTTACAAAGAACATTTGCTATTCCATACCACGCTTAGGCCCTTTCATTTCTGTTGTACTGCTTTTGCCCATTTTACTTTTACAAAACCACTTCATCTTCTATTTTAGAACTGCTTATGTTTTCAATTGTTATAAGAAAATTATTTCTGTTCAATGCAGTGTCGAAGTATTTAACCTCTATACAATATGAAGATAGGTATTTTATGCTGTCTTCTTTTATGATGAGTGCAATTTGTCTTCTGATTGTTATGTAATTAGAGTGGTTTCTTGTTTCTGTTATAGGTATGAATGTTGCATCTTCCATTTTCTCTTCCAGCTGATAGGCTAGAGATATCAGAGAGTGAAGAGGGAAGAGGCAGAAGAATTGGTGTTAATGACAGTTTGATTGTTCTGTATTATTTTCTATCAGCTTCAAACTAATGGATCCTTGTTGGAAACTCACCAGAAGAGATTCATATTGAAACTCTAAGAGAGATTTACTAAGCAAATGCATGCAGTTACATTTGAAGGTCTAATTTCTGCTTCTTCAATAGGTTTTGATAAGTCAAAAATCAAGAAAAATCAAGTTGATTTGTACCCTTGTACCCTTGTGAGAAAATATTGTTTTGTCCAGTTTAATGTCTTGATATAGCTGGTTGAATTGCTACACTACCTTCTATTCTATCCTAACTGTTTCAACCAAGGTTCAAAACTGATGATTACAGTGCATTAACTTACAATTACCTAATAATATTGTGAATTTTCTATTTCATTTATAAGAATAATGTCAGTGCATAAAGCGCACAATTTTAAGTAACAGACAGTAGTATTTCCGTATTGGAAAATTAAATAATTATGCATTATTCCTCCTGATCAGTTCTCTGAGTAGAGATACAAATATATTAGGTTTACTGTAGATGTGTGTATTAATGCTGCAGTGACAATTAATATCCCTCAGACTTCAGTAGTGGTCAGTTAGAAAACCTTATTGCAAGCTCTTAAAATGAATCATTTAGAATTTCTAATAGATATGATAACAATTTTAGAAGTCAATGTTAATTAATGTGTGCATTTTTTGTTACAATGAGATTACAACTGTATTCTTGTTTAAATTATGCGTACCAAATAAAATAGAAATATGTTGCCGATTGTCCCCGGCGAGGTGGATCCAGT